AGAAGAGGGCAACTGCTATGAGGAGCAAGGAACAGACACATGCTCTGTAACATCCATGCTACTTCTGCCATGCTAAGCCCATTCTGGCTTAGCTCACAAGTCCTGTAAAAAAACAAGACTGTCCCATCAACTGCTGCACCCTTCTATAATTGTGGGAATCACCTTACATATTAGCACATCTCTTGGCAATTCTAGTATCACTCTTCAGAGCTTGCCTAGTCAGGGTCCAAGCCTGATTTCTTATTTTACATTTCCATTTACCTCCAAAATTCATAATAAAAACTGAGGAAACATTGAAGCCACTTTCACCTTCCCTTCAAGTCAAAGGCAGCAAGCTGCCCCTTTGATGAAAAGGATCAAGACCAGTGAACAACAATTAGCCTGTGAGAGTTGTCTGGAGTCTTTCTGCAAAAATGAAAGTTTCAGTGGAAACCAGAAGCAGCCAGCTACACCACCACAGAACAAAATCTCAAAAGAGCTCAGAGACTCTCCCACATTCTCACAAGCCCAAAAGACATACTTACTATGATCAAAGCAGAACATCTGAAACCTGGAACATGTAGGACATGTACCCTTAGCAGTAAATGAAACTGGCATGAAGTAGTAGTAGGCATTAGGTGGGGAAGGAGGATATAAAGTATCCACTGCACAGACCAGGCCAAGGAAAGCCAGTGGTTAAAAAGAAGGTCCTTGTTCGGGAGACTTGGGAAAGCAGTGTAAGATTATCAGAGGAAGCAGCACATGGGTCTTATCCTGTGAGCTGGGGTGTGAAAGTGAATGGTATGTACAAACAGTTTTCTGTGTAGAATTTTTGGGATACAAATAAATAAATAAATAGTTCCAATTATACTGGCACAAGAAGGTAGTGTTTTAAGTGGTACTGGATTTCCTGCACCTACATATTCAGTTGATTTGTATGTAAGCATTAAATATATGCAATGTGGCACAGCAGAACCTACTATGTGATTGCTTTAACTATGCTGCGAATGGGCATGAAGTCTGATTCCTTTAAAAAACTGCAGGCTTCCTGCACATCAGATATTCCCAGAATTTCTAGAAACCTGGCACATTGTCTGGCATTTCTGAAAGCCTGAGATGCCAAGTGTCTGGGTGGCACCTTCTAGTTTCCCACCCCATTTGACACTTCCAGGCAAAGAAAAATAAAAATGAAAATGCACAAAGCAGAGACTGTTTGGGAATCCGGACATATAGCAGGTGTGTGCACACAGGTCAGTGAAACCTTGAGCAGCTGCCACTGTTACTACCACTGAGAAAGCAGAGAAAATTAAGCTTAGAAACCTTCAGATCAGAAAATTGAAAAAGTCTAGTTTTCTACAATTTAACCCAGAGTAGACAGCCTGCCAACAAAACATCATTTCTCAATGAACCTGAGTACTTCTGTTGAAATGATGAGTTAAGTATTTTGGGTATGTCAGGCAATGAGAAGAGAAAAATCCCTTGTTTCTGACTGCAGCAGGCCTCCCAGGTTGTCTGGTGTAATTTAGACTGCCATTCTTCCCTCTGACTGATAACAGGGAAGCTTGCTTGCCTACCTCCCCTAACAAAGTTAGATAAATCTGTCAGAAGTTCCAAGGAAAAAATATTATAAGTACTTTAGAAGAGCTAGGTTGGTCTTGTCTTTAGGTTTGAGAAAGGTGTTACAAAAGAACAAGAAGCTAAAGAATGGGAGGTCTGAGAAAACACTGACCATTTCATTGTTGAACTTTTGCCAACAGACAGCTCATACGAGTTCTAAAAGATGAACCTGAGCAAGGGTGGCTGCTGTTGAATCCACGGTGCCCCTGAAAACACAGAAATCTATACCAGTTACAAAGTAATCTTTCTCACCAGCTTTGGTCTAGGTCTTGGACACTAAGTGACCTGCAGAGCCTAAGTTATTCTTTGAGGAGAATCCACTGTTGTGTTTTTTTCTCAAAAAACAAGTGACACAGTAGCTGCAGATTCCAGCGCCAGGAGCTTCTAGGAACACCTACTGTCCTCACCACCAGGGATTTACACAACTATTTGCCAACAGTGACTTGAAAGTTAGTTTAGGTTGTGAATCAACAAGTTTTTACCTTTATTATGCAACTAAGCATGCTTTCAAGAGAACACTTCTTCATGAGCAGTTTCAGTGACTGGAAATCAGTTTCATTGAATAAGGAATCACCTTTATATTTGTTGTCCTTTGATTATACTATTAAAACTCATAAAAATTATATATGGGAATCTTAAATACTCCTACTACAAAACATAACCCATGTTCAGTGCCTGTACAGCAGAAAGTGAAAGACTGACAATCCTGCCTGATGGAGTGAGAAGCTGAGATAGAACTGAAACAGGGCACTGAGACAGTGCTAGGGCTAAAGAAGAGAGCAGATTTGGCTTAGCCTAAATGAGCTACAAAGGGCAACAAAGGCAGGGCTGCAGCAAATATGGCAGAGGCTGACAGACATGGTCAGTTATGGTAGTCAGGAGTAAGCCCCTGTACTGTTTGGAATATCTGACCTCTTGGAAAGCCCTGCAGGCCTTTTTGTCTGGGGCACAGTGAAAGCCTAAGCCATCATTTGAGTGGCAACAGCACCAATGCTTATCGAAAATAACTAAACAAACAAAAAAAAATTAATCTCCAAAGGCACAATGGTACAGATTTATAAAACAACATTTTAACATATCCAGAACTGTTCTCTGTTTCTATATCATAAACTCAAGATCTCCTTTGCCTTTTGGTAAGCAGACCACTGATTTGGCACCTCATCTCATACAGCAAAAAGAATTCTACAAAAGAAGGGAAAACTTTTAAGAAACATTTAGATAAGTCAGTACTGACACAGTGGGAATTAAAGGGGAGGAATATTTGTCCATAAGAATAGCCCAAATCCTATAGATTGCAATAATCAGACCAAAATTTTCAAACAAACCTCAGCAGCACCAAAATGGCTTAGATTTACCATAGAGCTATACAAAACCTGTAAAGACGAGTTTCAGAACCAGATGTTTGAGCTGAAGCCAAGTGCAAGCCAGAAAAGAGACCCATTTACAAAACATTTCCATCCTTGCTAAATTCTACAACTGATAGATCAGAATCTTAATGGAACAAAACAGGAAGCTTTTCTTCAAAGTCATCCAGCACTGAGCACAGGCTGACACCCATCAGATTACCCTCTATGAACTGCTTGCTCCAATCTAACAGATCGTAGCAAAAAAGGCATTTACAATACAAGATAGCCATCTCCATGTATCATGACCTTGATATTCCTTTTGGAATTCTCCCATTAAATTAAACTTCACAACCCAAGTAATCCAGCACTGCCTCGAGAATTCCTTTTTTTTTCTTTTCTAGATTTACATAAAACTTTTAACTACTGGTGTTTGGGCCATTTGATACAAGCAGCCATGAAGATAAAGCAATTCAGTAAAGTATCTTAAGACATCCTTCTGTCTCTTGCTCTGAGGATAAAATCAAGCAACTGAAGTACTGAAAGACCAGTTGGTTCACAAAAGGTTTGAAGATAGAATCTTATACCAGCTGTGGCCAGACAATTCTGAAGTACTTTTGGATTGCTGAACAATATGAAACAATTTCTAAAGGCATTAAATCGCATACAATGCTAGTTGAGGCACAGCTCTGGAAGCTGTTCAAAGTGGAGTTCTGAGCATAAATGGTGGGTTCTCAGATCTACAGGTAACATATAACTGAAACGGTTTCAGAGCAACATGGTGTTGGTGACTTCTACAGAGTTCTGCAACAGAAGATTTTGACCATGAATAATCCTTTTCCAGCTATGTCTGAGTCCAAGCAGAGGTGCAAGCAGAGTTGAGAAAGGAACGAAAGCTCTAGGACAGCCTGCACTCTGCTGCTCTCTCAAGCTATGCAGGAGGGGAAGGCAATTTACACCTGTTGGACAGGTTCTTTATTTGGATTAGGTAATAGCTTGCCTGGCTCGTCTCCAAGAGCAGAATCATCACCACCTCTCTCAATAACTCTAAACCCCAAAGGCAAACATTGTGCTGGAACAGAAACAGGCCAGGAATTCATTTCTTACATTCCTCCTCTTTAGGCAGGATGAAAAGCAGTGACTGATGAAATAAGAACAATTTTACTTGAGCTTTCCAAATCCTATTCCAATCCTCCTATTGAAGTACCCATTTGGGAAAGCATGAATACTCAGGTCACATATCTTCTGCACTGTGTATCTGCCTCACTCACCTCCCTCCATTTTCAAGTAGCATTCAGGCACCAATGACAAGAAATGTTAATGAATATAGAGCCTTCCAGTCTTGAACCAATATGTTGGAAAAGCTCTGTCTCTATTTTAAAAGACAAAAATGAAGGCTTAGGCAAAGGAATAAATAATATTTACTAAAGCACCAAAGGAAGAACTCAAATCTCCAGCACTTCTGGGCCTGTATTCAGCCTAGTCTATTGCAGCAAGCTCACCTTGCTCCTAGGCTTCCAAGATTCAGAATCCTTGGTGGTAAGTCTTGCTGCTCCTTTAATCCCAGGAAGAATGGTTTTACTGCCGAATCACTAACTTCTGCCCTGAGTCCTATGAGTATATCAGCCATAAAAATATAAATTCTAATGTGCAAAATTAATAAAGAGCATAAAGAAGCTGTCTGAGAAAGAAACTTTTATAAACACTGCAAAATGCTGCTCTATCTTGGAATCATCTAAACTTGACATTCAAGGGAAAAGCAGGAAGATGAGGCATTAGTGGAGATTTCTGCAATATCAGGTGTGAAGTTTGAATTCTGTGTTTATGTTTCAACACCAGCAAATCTAAACTTCCACATGCAGGGATGAGAAATTATCAAAGAGAAACAGGCATTTCCCTTTCATTCTACATGTCAATACATAGCTCTGTTTTCATAGGCCTAAGATAGTTTCTAGGATAGTCCTGAGAAGAACTGAGCAAGAAGCCACATGCAAATTATGAATGAGCTCCTGAATGCATTGCATTCTTCTTCAAAAAGCTGGAGAAGGAATTTTAACTTACCTGACTGCTAAGGAGACTGATTTTTTTTCAGCTATACGAGTGTCTGACTGAACAGCCCACAATGACCTTGCTTTGCTGAGTGCTGATCGGCAGCTCTGTGGGGTTGCTGCATTCTGCTTGCTTTTAGCTCCACTTGCCAAGTTCAGGTTTGTTAACTAAAGAGGAAAAAAAAAAAAAAAAAGACATCAGAAACAATTATAAACCAAGAAAAGAAAGAGCAAAAAGTGTCACCAAATCAACTGAATAGAGTACTAAGAGAAGTAAGACTGCTAGAGAAGGGAAATCTTCAGATGCAGAAAACCTGTGCCAGTTGCATAAAGCAGTGGGAGAGATGACACCAACAGCCACCATGCTTGAGATTCATTCAAGTAACAGCATTAAAACTACAACCCTTCCATTCACAGAAGAACAAAGCAAGAAAGGGAAAAAGATGGAGCAAAAATTTTAAAGCAAGAAAGCAACATCATGTTCCTGCCATATGAAAAATTAACTCTACATGCACTAATCAGAAAACAGAAGCTCATATTACATTGAGCAGCATAAGTTGTGTCACTAAGCCACCTGTTTGCATCTGTCCTCTCTCTGAATATGTACAGGCACAATCCACAAGTCTATGTACCTTGGATATAAAATTAAAAGACAAATTCTACTACATATGAAAGAAACTTCTCACCAAAGCATTTCCCAATTGTTTACACAGGTAAAGTCATAGTAGCTATATGTTTGTTATATCATGCTCTAAATAAATTAGCTATGTGTTTTTAAGGATAAAAACGTATTCCATTGTTTCTTTCCCAGAGCATTCTTCTTGAAAGATCAAACTCTGCAAGCAGACACTATCTGCTGGTTTATTTAAGAAAGCCTAACTACATAACATAATGGTACCTACCACAGCAGTGTAAATGTTAGTTTACATTTGAAAAAAAAAAGTTATGAAGACTACAAAACACTACAAAGGTTGCAAACCTAAGATTCCCAGTCAGGCATTGCCAGAATTGAGTTTGTGACTGCCTTTAATTACATGATCACATACTGCTTTTTAGGAGCACAGAACAGACCTAGTTCTGCATCAAGATTCATGTCATATGGCAAGCAAGACTTATCTGTATTGCCCATGCTCGCTTCTGTGGCAACTGGAAGGCACACAGCCAGTGAGACACAGGACACAGACAGAAAGAGAAGTCTAACATTTAACCCTGCGTCTGCTCCATATCTCAAAGGTGATGCTTATTAAGTTGCTTAAGTATCACTTAAGCATAGCTTCTAAATTTCCAGTTTTGAGATATTAACAGTGCTCTTTTACCAGATTTTGTGTACTATGACTTAAAAAAATACTTGCCAGCTCCACTGCAATACACTACACTCAGACCTAGAATAGACGTGCAGAACTGCAGAATTGTATTCTCTGACTGAACTCTGGAACATGAATTAACATTGCACCTGGCAACACAGTAGGTTGCTACTCCTGTGCTTTAGTAATACAAGGCATCTAAGCATTTTCTAAGTTCAGAAATCTTAACTCCTACTTCAGATCAGCACAGAATTAGCATGGTTACACACTACGCTTCTGCCCATTTCTCCAACAGGAGCTGCTTTTCTCCCATCTCTTCTCAGCTTTATCCTTTCACATCCTTGCACCTTGTCTGTGTGTCATTCTTGCTTAGTCAGTCCTAGGTTCCATGTTTTAGGTGTCATTCTTCTTATATTCTGCTCAGTCCACTTTCATTCTTACAGACTACAAGCACTGGTCTCCCCACTACTTCTGATCTCTGAGCCACACCAGGTCTGGAACTTTCCATGGGAGTAGTTATTTGATCTGCCTTCCCACACTTTTGTTCTTAGTTCCACTTCCAGTTGCCCTCATGGCCTATATCCAAGTGGTTCTAGTTTTATTTCCCTGTCTACTTATTTTCTCAACCTCTTTTGTTTACCTAGTCACAGAATGTGAACTCCTCATTGGACCACATTGGCCATGCTGTCATTCCTTCTACTTCTGTCCTTTCACCTGAGTGCTTCTGAGTGCCCTCTCTCAAATTATGTTCAGGTCTAAATTTCACAACCTCCTTGTTCTAGCTGTTCTCCACACCTTGGCATCATTCCCACTCAATTTAATTCAAGTTGGATAGGCTCCCCAGTCCAACACAGATCAGGTCACTGAGAACACAGGAAAATGGGGTCTCAAGCCTCAGAGATGCAAATACAGAGAAATTCAGTTTAGCATCCTCAATGTGGAAGGAACCTTCAGGAATCTGAGAAGCTCCAGCAGGTCCTGCTGAGTATATTTCACCTGAACCTTTTCAGATAGTTACTGGGCAATCAAGCTTAGACAAAACTTTAAATTGCAAATTGCTATTCCAAAGCATGGGAGATGCAGAGATTTAAAGAAAAGTTATGTAGATATTAAAATGCACATTATGGTTTTCTTAATCCAATCTTGGTTTTGACTGGAAGACTTCACTTCGCCTGAAGTTTTCTGAAAACTGAATGTTAAGCACAGAACACCTGAGTTCAAATGGATGATGTTTCAGAACTTTACAAGCAATTTAAAACAAGATCTTACAGTGAGATAAGCTTAGTAATGGGCAGTGCTATCCATTCTACATAGAAAGCAACATTAGATGTCATTTTGGTGCCTCTACCTCACCTTTAAATGTTGTTGGCTTCTGCAGAATTTAATTAAAATTCAAAGCATTTTCATTGCAGTAAGAAAAAACTTCAAATTATGTTTAGTTCTGATTGTGCCAGGCGCTATACAACCACCTAACAATGACGGCTTCTGGCCACAAAGAGTTTATTGTCTGAAAAGAAGCAAGAATGGCAAATGAGGCAAACACAGAGGCCAACATGATAAATTAAATAGGATATATGCAATTCTTAGCTTGTTAGCAACAGTGATCACACCTTTGTTAACACATCCAGTTTGTGAAATAAAGATGTCTTTACCAAGAGACTAAAGGATTCTCTTGGTATCAAAATGATGAGGAAAGAATTGGATAAAGAGACTCATCTCTGCTCTAATAATGTGGTACACCTTCCTCTCTAAGATTGTATCATTGTTTATTTAAAAGCTGTTTTTCTAAGCAAAGCAGGTGAGCAAAGAGCTTAGAATGGATAGTAGGGACATTTCACACATTCCAGATAGACAGGTGTTTAAACTACACCAGGATTAAATACAGGCAAGGGATTCAGAATGAGGGAGAGAACACCAGCAGCCAGCCCACCTACTGTGCCATGCAGTGAGACATTTCAGCTGCTATAATTAGCTTGTCAGGATGTTGCCTTATTTGATTGCTGGGACACCTTCAACACATCTAAGCTCAACAAAGTGATTTCATTTTGTAGTCACTCATCCTCCTTTGCACCTGATCAAACTGTGTTCTTCCCTTTATAGAGCAAATCAATTGTTACTTTGGCTTATTAGAAGATAATGTACAGCACCTGGACCAAAGCAGATACCAAAATTTCCATTAAAAATAGCTTGCAGCTTCAGAAATTGTAGTACTGGAAAACAACTCAAAAAACCAACAATAAAAATACAAACCAAACCAAAACACACAACCCGCCCCCCACCCAAGAAAGGCAAGATAGTGGGGCTCAACAGGGAAGGTAGTCATTGGTGTGGACCTACAAAGTACATTTTCCCAATGAGTTGTAACATGATGGGTTTCAGTTCTCCTGTTCTCCTGTTTTATAAGGTTCTTGTTTTTCACTAGCAGTGAGGAATGTCAGAATATGTTTTCTGACACTATGACAGGAGACCAGTGTGTGCTACACTGTACACTCAAGACATCCCTATTTTCAATAAATCAATATGTTTTCTGTGGCATCATAGAATCACAGAATCATGCTGGTTGGAAGGGACCCTGAAGATCATCAAGCCCAACCATAACCTACCATAGCCTCATTTACCCATTCAGTGTTTAAATCATGTCATTAAGCACTACATCTATGTTTCTTTTAAATACTTCCAAGGAGGTGATTCCACAACTTCCCTGGGCAGCCGGTTCCACTGTCTAACCACTCTTTTGGCAAAGAAATTCTTTCTAATATCCAGTCTAAGCCACCTCTGGTGCAGCTTCAGGCCATTTCCTCTAGTTCTGCCATTATTCACTGAGAGAAGAGGCCAACTCCCACCTCTCTACAACCTCCTTTCAGGTAGTAGTTTCAGGTAGTTGTAGAGGGCAGTAAGGTCACCCCTCAGCCTCCTCTTCTTCAAACTAAACAATCCCAGTTCCCTCAGCCTCTCCTCATAGGACTTGTTCTCTAGAGCTTTCACCAGCTTGGTAACTCTCCTCTGGACACACTCCAGCAATTCTACATCCTTCTTGTAGTGAGGGGCCCAGAACTGTACACAGTACTCAATGTGTGGCCTCACCAGTGCTGAGTACAGGGGCACAATCATCTCTCTACTCCAGCTGGCCACACTATTCCTGATGCAGGCCAGGACGCTGTTGGCCTTCTTGGCCACCTGGGCACACTGCTGGGTCATGTTAAGTCAGCTGTCATCCAGCACCCCCACATCCTTCTCTACCATGGAGCTTTCCAACCACTCATCCCCAAGCCTGTAGCTTTGTATGGGGTTGTTATGATCAAAGTGCAGGACCCGGCACTTGGCCTTGTTAAACCTCATACAATTGGCCTTGGCCATTGATTCAGTCTGTCCAGGTCTCTCTGCAAAGCCTTCCTACCCTCAAGCAAATTGACACTTCTTCCCAGCTTAGTGTCATCTGCAAACCTACTTAGGAAGCACTCCATCCCCTCATCTAGGTCATTAATAAAGATATTGAACAAGATTGGACCCAAATCTGAGCCCTGGGGGACGCCACTGGTGACTGGCAGCCAACACAATCCAACCCCATTCACTACAACTCTCTGGGCTTGGCCAGACAGCCAGTTTTTTTACCCAGCAGAGTGTGTACCTTTCTATGCCATGAGCCACCAGCTTCTCTAGGAGAATGCTGTGAGAGACGGTGTCAAAGACCTTTCCAAAGTCCAGACAGACAACGTCCACAGTCTGTAAAAGGCAAGATAATACACAGCTAATATCTCTCATGATAAAATGATTCATAAAGTTTTGCCACAATTTTTAAACTGTGGGGGACAACAAAAAGGTCAGAAGCTGAAAGGAACATGGTGAGTGAAGAACACAATGGGA